ATTATTATATTTATTATTGTTATTGTTGTTGTTGTTGTTATTGTTATTGTTGTTGTTGTTGTTGGGTTTTACGTCGCACCAACACAAAATATGCCATATGATGACTTTTCAGCTTTATTGGTGGAGGAAGACCTCAGGCTCAGGAGCCCTTCCGGTTACATAAATGACTTAATAACAAAATTAAATGCATCAGGGCTGAATTTTAGGTTATAAAGTGACTGTTAAGTTCGTATCACAAGCAGCAGGATGGGTACTAGGATAATAAATTGCAAAATTCAAGGCAATAGGCGGTGTGCCATTTTATGTTTATACAAAATTAATTGGCGCCCTTGTTTTGGTCAGTTGATTTGTACAGTGATGCCATTTGAGGTACTAGACAGTATAGTTTTATATATGCAATTCAAAACAGTCATGTTTTTCATGGGAACTGGCAGATACACAGCTAACATTGTTGTTGCAGGTGACATGGGCTGGTAGCAAACATTTTGTGGACATACAATGTGTAGTAAATGTATAGATTTTTAAAAATGTCAGATACAAAAGTTAATACACTATTATATAACTTGTATCTAAGATACAGTTTAGAAACTGGCATTTTACAGTAAAGGAGTTGGTCAAACATTACCATTGCAGTGAATATATACTGAGGTAGAAAACGTTCATTTATTTAGCGTACACTTTTAGATAAACCAAAAGTAAATTATCTCAACCAATTTTTAGATAATTTAATTGAAACCATAAATAGGTTGTATAGTTCACAAAGGTCAGGAAGTAATAAATTAAGCAGAATTTCAAATTTAGTTTTATTTTTTGGATTATATTAAAGTTTTGCTTCCTCGTGAACACAGATCGATCGGCACTTATATAATTTCGCTACAGAGTCGCGTAAATTACTCAAACAACTATTCGATATGAAAGACTTGCAGATGTCCGTTATGTAACGGAGAGGTAGTAAAACGTGTTCGTTTGAAATGTCTACATTATACTGATATAAGACAAACTCTGTTTGGTAAAGTAAAGCAAAGAGTCTTAATAATGGGTTTCTTATGTTAAATGACGATTACAAAATAAAGAGAAATAGAATCCCTAAAAAGTCCAAAATGGCAAAATTGATAGTGTTGGGGGCTTGGTTTGTGCATGTTCATGGAATGAGTTTGTTATGTTTATTAGTACTGTTTATCTAACTTTTAAAATGTGCATAGTACAATTTGGTACCTGCAAAATGTGTGAACCAATTATGATAATCTTACATAACTCCCTATAAGTATGAGCATTTGTAAACATGAATTATAAGTTTTACTTTGTCTGTGCATCATATGTGCATGTGGATGAGACTCTTGTAAACTATGTTTAATTGATCTGTAAAATGCTGAAGCACTGTCAAGGGTGTAAGATATATTGCAATTTATATTATCTCTCGGATCAGGCTAAATGGAATCGAATATTAAAATAACAACAATCTGTTCTTGTTTTCATTGCTGAAGATGGGTTTATCTTCTTCCTGGATATTTTAAGAAAGAAAAATAGTTGATGTAAGGCAATTATAATAACTTAATCCGTACCTTATGTCAATGTCATATTTTTTGGTACATCGGATACATTGTTCCAATGGTATAAGTGCGGAAGACTGCTCGAGCTGATGTTATGCTTAACAGATGTTATACGCTTCGTTAAATGACCCAATGAATATTTACATTTCATTATATTTTTTTCTAAAAGAATCTCTTATATAAAATTTCTATCATATAGTTCTGATATTTTGCTACATTAAAAACACTGCATCCTCATTATTCCTGTCACATTTTAATACACGCACCAGTTTACTTGATATTCTTTGTGAACATATCTGTAACCATTTTGGGGGTGTCAATGATACGCTTATGTTACCTAACCTGATAATATGATATTACACTTATTTTACCGGAGGATTCAAACAGACACATCGTCCCGACAGTAAGGGATTTTCATTCTCCAATGATATATATTGATAGGTATAACCAATCACACTCTACTTTTGGGGAAACGAGACAAATGTTAATTGTTTTAGGGTGTAACTAAACCCATTGCATTCCTTCTCGTACTCGTATATCACTTTTGATATTACATTAAAACATGTATGAACAATAAATAATTGATGCCTCTTTTTCAAAAGTTCTTTCAAATGTGATTATCCTATACAACATTCTTTCAAAGCAAATATTCAGCAAAAGAATGAAAGCTTTTGGACTAACATACTAGATTATGGTAGATACGAAGATTAGCTGCCCCTGATATAATCGATTGTTATGTTATCTTTAAATGCATGATAGCTCGTTGTTCTGTCAAATCATGGATAACCATAGTTTCTTCCTGAATTAAAGTTGAAGCCTCTTGTAAATCAATTATGGGTAGATCATGATGAATTAACCATGATGATCTCAGAATAAACATAAACATATATCTTATGTATATATATTTTTTTTATCTAAACACGTATTGTCAAATCAGGCCAAAAGGTCCATTTTACTGAAACACTGAATCGCATGGGGAGTTTGTGATCTGGTAAACATGTTTTAAAAGAACTATAAGACAAGTCTTTACTACATTTTTTTTATTTTTCCTGTTACTTTAATTAAAGAAGAGAAGGTCGGATAAACTTAATTTGAAACGGTGTGGATGGTTTTCTTTGACGTATCTTACACATGTTTGAGAAAACATAATATTAAGTAATTTAAAAATGGTTTATTTTTATATTGATACTGTAAATTATTATCTTTACAGAAGTGATAACGGTGTACTAACACATTATATTTACGATACCAGTCCATTATTTCAATTATTACTCAACACGTTTCGTTCGATGTTTTAGATAATTATTACGCTTATTTGACAAATAGATCTTGTAAACCGTGTTTTATTGGTAATTATTGTTTATTACCTGTTGACTGGGATATAAATATTCCAACAGCTCGAAATGTTATCGTTGAGATAAAATCCATTCGTTTTAACATGCATGTATATTTTTGATATATGTTAAGTGAGCAAAGAAATCGACAACAGTCAGGAACATTTTTTTAAATGTAAAACTACCTTAAATAAACATTGCACTATAAAAAGGTCTGCATTATTATTTGAAGAGGCTCGTAAATTATGCCTTTACTGTGTACTAAACAACCTTTTCTCTTAAAAAAAGTTACACCATAATAAATGTTTGCGTCAATTTTAAATATTGGCTAATAAACATAAACTCCTTAGAAAATGAGAATTTAATGCATTTCTTTACATGTATTCGTATGCAGTTGTCAGTGACGGAAGGTTTTTGTTGTTGGTGTTTTCTCGGTAGAGTTCTAAATAAAATAGAGAAAAAAGCCTTAAAAAGGCAAATTTGAAATATTGTTGTATGGTCGCTTTGATTGAGCCCGTTTAACATTTAAAATGAAATGGTAAAAAAATAATTGCAGTCTTAAAGTTAAAGGCCCATTATGCTCAATGTGTTTTTTTTCTCAAAACCATTTAACTTCTTGTGTCCTATAATATTTTCTGTTAGTTATTGCTTAGTTTCTTAAACTACCTTTGCTTCTGTTGCTGATTTTTGGTAATTACTACAATAACAGTTATTTATATTTTTCTACTTTTATTACAAATAATGTCACACTCACACTTCTTTTCTTCAGGTAATAAGCATTCGTCATGTCTTTAACCATTATAAAAACATTACAACGTTAACTTGTGTTATAAGCAATTGTAATAATGACACATTTTTATATTCATGATTCATGTTGAAATTTGGTGAATGTGATTCCTTGAAGATAATGTGATTTCGCCGCTGATCAGAATAGTTAGCAAATTTATCATTTATAGGTCATAAAAATAAAACGTATAAAGTTTAGTTCATATTGACAAATATTAGGCTAAAACCATAACCAAGAGTAATGTACTCTGAACAAATTAATCTTTACATAGATTAACGAGTGACGACATATTCAGAGCGCAAATACGCGCATAAAATCGTTATAAAAATAGTACTTTTATGTTTTATGTTTAATAATACAATATTTTGAATAATTTTGTACCATTTGGCATATTCAAAATTGACAATTTATATGGCATTTAGCAATTTTTGAGATATTTTTTCTAAATTCTTTTAGCTCGGTACGTCCTATAGAACGGCCTTTTCTTCATCATTCAAGTTTGTTCAGAAAGACAACAAGTTTTATGTACTTTTTGCAAAACTTTTGATTGACCCATTTCCTTTCATATTACGTTTGGCAATATTGACCTTTCAAATACTTTATATGTTGGAAGAATATTCTTCTGAAAAAAAAATGTATGTAAAAATATAACAGTAACAAATTTGTTGAGGTCGTTAATTTGTTCAACAAAGAAACTTCGTTATCGGTTTAAAAGATTTAACAAGAAATTAAGATTTTAGAGAATTTTCGGTTGTGGTTTAGGTTTCGCGTTTGTTTTTTTACACATAAACCTAACTATTAAAATCTAATAGTAACACGCTATTTTTTATATTGTTCATTGTTAAATAAAGAATCTTCTTTATTCGTTTATAGAATTTAACAAGAATTGTTAACTATAATATAATTGCTACCTCTTTATCCTTTTATAGAATTTAACAAGAATTCTTAACTATAAAAATTGCGAAAAGATCAATATATTGTTGTTTCTGCTTTTTTTAGTTATACAGTAATATACAGTTATACGAGTCATTATAGATAGGTGATAAATCATAATGGTTCTTCTGGTACTCAAAATAGTAGATAATACTTTCCAAACCATCTGTTTATTTTAACGATTACGAGTATTCAATTACATCAAAATGTATATTATAAAATCCCAATTATACATCCATGTAAACATCTCGTAATTAAACAAGATTGAAATGTTAAACAAATATTTATCCAAACGCATTACCTCTGTCGTAAACGTGCTTAGACTTTAGTTGAACTTTTAACTTCAAGTGTGTTTAAATTGATGACCTGATAAAGATAACATATTCAAGGGCAAACAATTTGTAAATATTTTATCACATTTAAAAGATGGATGTTTTAAGTCTAGACCTTGAAAACTGGAGAACAATTCTAGTAGCTGTTATAATATTCATGATAACATATCTAACAACAAGACGGGACAAAAATGTTCCACCAGGACCAAATAGATGGCCTATAATAGGAAACATTGGATCGATAATTGGCGTAGATACACTTGACAGGCTTGCTAAACTACGTAGGAAATATGGAGATATATTTGGAGTGTATTTAGGGTCAGAATTGACAATATTCCTCAACGGCTATGATACAATACACGAAGCTTTAGTAAAACGGGGGACAGTTTTCTCTAAACGTCCGAAAAATCAACTACGAGGAGAAAACCGTGTGGCTATTGTGTTCGGAAACGGTCAGTCGTGGAAGGACCTTAGACAATTCACATTACATGCTATCCGCGAGCTTTGTTATCGGAAGACTGGCTTTACTTTAGAAGACAGAATAAATGAGGAATTGTCTTACTTCACAGAGAAACTAAGTAGTTTAAACTGCACGGATGTAAATCTATCATCGTTAATTACACTGAGTTTTGCAAATATCATCTACGGTATTATACACGGACGTCGTGTCGGGTACGAAGATAAAAAGTTCATATGGTATCTCGACAAACTTGATGAAGCATTTAAACGTCATCTTAAAACACAGACATTAAATGCTTGCTTTCCATTTCTCTATTACCTACCAGGAGATATACTCGGCTTGCAAGTAAGAGACACAACTGCTATTCTCAACAGCCAGTATTTTGAGGAAATATGCAAACCTAACTATGACAGTTATAGAGCTGGGGAAAACAATTGTTTTATGGATTATTGCATTGCAGCTGAGAAAACTAGTAAAACATTCCAAAGAGAAAACGTGTGGGTTATTCTGCATGATCTGATGGCTGCCGGTAGTGAAACAACTGCTACAACATTGAAGTGGGTAATTTTTGCTCTGGCCAAATATCCTGCCTTTAAAAAGAAAATTCAAAATAAAGTAGATGTAGTTCTTCCTCGAGACAAAACACCTTCTATGTCAGACAAGGAGAATTTACCGTACGTTGAAGCAACAATCCTAGAAGCTCTTCGATTCGGAAGCGTTGTTCCTCTTTCTGTACCGCACGCCGTCTTACATGATACTGTATTTCAAGGCTTCAAAATACCAGCAGATGCTACAATATTACCTAACATATACTCAGTTCATTTTGATCCCGATATATTTCCAGAGCCTGAAGAATTCAGACCTGAAAGATTTCTAAATGAAAGCGAGACATCAATAACCGGGACTGAAAAACTTATCCCATTTTCACTCGGGCCAAGGTCATGTCTCGGCGAGACTTTGGCCCGTATGGAGCTATTCTTGTACGTGACAACAATTGTACAAAAACTAGATATTCAAGCCCCAAGCGGTGAGGAACTACCGTCGGTTAAGGGAATATTTGGACTGACGCGACGTCCACAAGATTACCAAGTGAACATTCGCATAAGGCCCTCAGCGTAATGCGAGAGATCATACCATTTGCGTTAGATGTTATAGAACACTTTCCAGGACATACAAAAAAACTGATTCAATGCAAACAAAATTCGTGAAGTGACCTATTCTAAACTGTAAGTTACTGTGTATATGTTATAAGGTTAATGGACACAATCTTGTCTTATTAGGCAGTTCAAGACGAGCAATAATAAATACATTGTATATTAGCTTTTTAGCATTTGTGAATGTGTTGTCAAATATATAATAAATGTAAAAACAAGTTAATGAGTTGCAATATTTAGAGGCAGGCAATGTAAACCAGTGTATTATCAGTTATTTTAATCGACCTTAAGTATAATGTATTATGAAGTTATACCATTGCACCTTGTGTGAGGAAACGTCAGACCGCCTAAATGGGGTGATACATTAACTATCGATTATGAATGATGCATGGAAAAATAAAGTTTTGAGTTGGGTTGTTGGAATGTTCATTTTCATCGCTTTCTGTTATTGAGAGGCTTTCTTGTTTTGAAGGATAAATGGAAAACTTATATTACCTATAATTTTGTTATAAATATATTTATGTTGCAAGTGTGTACCATTTTGTTTATAACTTTTGAGAATGAATACACAAATTGCCACATGCAAATATGTAATGTGTAGATGTTTGAAGTTTACAGTTTGGGACAACAATTGTTTTTAATTCAATTCGCGTCCTGGTCTAAATTTCAAGTCTGTACATTAAATAAAACTAGATGGTAAGTGAAATTGTTTCAAAAATATCCATTAAAGCTCAACTGATATCAATTTTGCACATGACACTTCAGGTTCAACAGTGTCAAGAAATACCAGAAATAGTTTATTTTTCTATACAATTGAACTTTGTCACAGTGCAATGGTGTCTAGTGAAGTCTAACTTTAGCATGTTAAATGAAAGACAATGTGCAGATATATTTACTGTTTAGATACAAAGCACATAACCTGAGATCATTTCTTAAGCAAACAGGTCATGACATTAAGACTTTCTCCCAGCTTGGACAAATTGCATAAATGTACACATTTCCCTTTCATTATGAAAGATATACTATGCTCATCCTTGATTGAAATATTTTATCATAGAAATTTATTGAAATCTATAAAATATTTCCTGAATATCACTAATTTGAGTAAAAGAACGAATAAACTGTGTATGGGAAGCTGCATTCCCTATTATAGCCCAAGTAAAGTTGGTCTTTGCCATAAAAACAGCCAGTCTTTTTAATGAAACTATAAATTCATACTATGACCACCTATAGTGTGCAGAGTTTAAAACATAACATATCTACTTTGTGTGAACTCAAAACATGCTTATTTTATATTTATAAAGAAACCGTGTTTCCATTGGCAATATTTTCTCATATTAAATATCTTAAAACTATAATTTGAAGAATTGTCATGGCCCAAGGCATTTAAGCTTTAGCGGCCCCTTTAACAGGCCAATCAAATAAATATGCAAACTGGATACCTAAGACTACCTAAGAATGCTACAGAGAAAATTTGGTGATCATAAATCAATTCAAATTCAAACTTTATTGAGTTATAAGGCCACCAGTCCATCCACATATAAAGACTTATAATACAAAATATACATATGTGGATGCTTCAAAAGACATTATATAAATATGTAAAACAAAATGTCAACAATTATCATAGAAATAGAATTGGTACTAATAATCTTAACAAAGACAAAAATAATCATGTTCTTTAAGCGCTACATTTATCAAAGAAAAGTATAAATACTAATTATCTAAACATAGACAAAAATTGATGACGTTCTCTAAGCGCTATATTTAGAAAAGTTGCTTATTTCTTAATTGTATCAATATCTTGAGTTGACATCAGATTATAATATTTTATATATGAAGGATATTTCCAGAAATAATCACTGATGTAGGTATGTCTTATATTAGAATAAAGTGGACAAATATGTACAAAATGGTACTCATTTTCTTGTACACATTCACAAAATGGGCAATATCTATAATCACGTTCAATACAACTATATCGCCCAGTTTCTATCGATAAACAATGAGATGAAGATCGAAAATTTGCTAAAACACTTCTAAATTTTTTAATATCCAGACAATAAACATATTTGTGGGTAAATAATCTTTTTTAAAATGAATATAATCCATCAATTTTACATTAAATGGACATTTTGACATCCAATTTTGAACATATTGGTCTTTTAATCTATTGACATATATTGATAAAAATAAAATTGGCTGATTCACACATTGCATTTCCCAAATATATCCAAAACCGTTTTGATACAAGTTAGTTCTAACTACAGTTACCCAATTTTTATGACAAATATTATCAAAATATCTTAACATATTATAACAAATTTTAACATATCTAGAAGGATGCATATTAATAATACGTATCCAATATTTCACAATGCGTTTATAAACCTGTATGTACATAGGGTAACGACCCAAATCCCCTAAAACTGAATCATTGCAAGCTGTTCTCTTGACATAAAGCACACGTTTACATGCATATTTATGAATATCTTCAGTGCATGATATGTTACCTGTTCCCCATATTTCGCAACCATACAATAATACTGGACTAACTTTAACATCAAATATTTTGAAGAATGTTTGATAGGGTATACATTCTAAATTATTTAACGACCTAACAATATGATTAAATACTTTCTTAGCTTTAATCGCCTTGTCCTCTGCCATTTTGAATAACATAGGCGATTAGTAAAATACAAACCAACATATGAAAACCCATTAACTATATCAACATTTCAGTTATCATAAACCCAAGATTCTCTAGCAGCTATTCTACCGCCTCGTTTGAAAACGATTATTTTAGTTTTTTCAATATTAATATATATCTTAAAATCAGTACAAAATTCATAAAGTAAATTCAATTGTTTTTGCAGACCAACTACTGTGTCTGATACCAAGCTACATCGTCTGCAAAAAGAAGCATAAATATTTCAGTTATATCAGGAAATAACTGTATCCCTCTAACATTATTACGACTAAAAAATGTGTGAAGCTCATCTATAAATAGACAGAACAAAACGGGGCTTAAGGCACACCCTCCCTTAGGCCTAGAGGGCATCTAAAATATCAGTGAGACCATCTTGTGTTTAACACAAGCCTTTACAGAACGATACACTGAAATAATTGATCGATAAAGATTACCCTTAATATTATTTTGACAAAGAATAGAAAACAAAATATCATGATTAACAGAATCAAAAGCTTTCTGAAAGTCAATAAAAGCAACATATATAGGTTTCTTTTTCTGATTCAAGTACTTATTTATAATTGAGGATAAAATGAAGGCATTGTCAATTGTTGAGTATCCAGACCTAAATCCTGCCTGTGATTCTGTTAAAAGTTCAGATGCTTCAACATAAAATGTAACACGTTAAGTAATAATGAATAAATAAATTTTACTTATAATATCTATTAAGGCAATACCTCTGTAGTTGTTGGGACAGTGTATTGATCCCTTTTTGTATACAGGAATAATAATAGACCTAGACCATTTTTCTGAAAATTTTCCTGTTTTAAATAACCTATTAAAAAGTTTCAACAAAAAAGGAAGCAATGCGTTTATTCCATATCTTAAATGTTCAGGAATTAATATTCCACCTGTTGCCTTAGTAACATTTAAGTTTTGAACAGCATTAAATATTTCATCAGTAGTTATTTCAGAATTAAATAAAGAATACTCAACATCACTGATATCATTCACAGACTGGTCTTTTGAGTCATGAACCTGTGAACTTGCACTTGAAGCTGCAAAAAAAGTACTAAAATGATCATACCACTCAATTAAAAAAATATTTGGTTCCAATTTACTTTGGCCACTACAACGGCTGAGATTTCTCCAGAACATTTAAGCATCATAAACTGATTGATCAAGTTGTTTTAAACATTTTGTATTATACAGAAAATGTTTTGTTTTACACATATTTTTATAAATAGATTTTAAGTCTAAATAGTTATTTAAATTACTATTTGTACGATTATTCTTAAAATTTCCAAGGGCTTTACGTGAATTTTATTTCGCCTTTAAACAGTCTCTATCAAACCATATCTTATTAGAAATATTTTTACGAAAGGTTAAAACTTTTTTAAAAGGTTTGCTACTTTCTAGTACAGCATTCTCAAAAGTTCAAGTATAACGTTGATATCCTGTTGTCATCAGCAATACTGTTCTCAAATTCTTCAAAAGTACCGTTAATAATATCATTAGATCACATATAAAAAAAAATGGGTATGATTATTTGAATTTATATAGGTCTTTTCTTTAATCACTGAAGAGTTATTGCCCCTTTTTATGGGCACAATCTTCATTAATATTTGGACAGGAAAATGGGAACTTTCAGAAGTTTCAACCACTTGTGTGTTAATAATGCTATCAAAAAGAGTTCTTGAGAGGATAAAATAATCGATATCACTATTTCCATTTCTATTAGCGAAAGTACATTTAGAAGACAATGGTCCAAATCTACCATTTGCAATAATGATACTGTAGGCTTTGCAAAAATGTAATAATTCTTTACCCCTTTTATTAACAATAATATCATCTGATTCTCTCTTTGTTGATCAATTGTATTTTCTAAAATATCTACATATTCAAGCAAGACAGACACTGGCTTTTCAATAATTGGAAAATCATAATCACAACCCGTGCGTGCATTTAGGTCACCACAAATTATCAAGTTAAGGTTAATAAGATTATATTCTATTAATAAATCTTCAAATATTTGAAATACCCTATGAGACATATTACTATACACAGGTGAACCCTCAGGTGGAACATAGAGCGAAGCAAAAAGTATATTTGCATTTGTTCCAAACAAGAACTTGTCTATTATTAAAATAATACCATATTCAAACTCATGGCACACCTGTTTAATTAAATTTGTGAGTTTCTTACAAAAACAGTTACACCACCCTAAATGACGGCCACCGCTTATAGATTTCTTTGCCGGACAAAAGAAAAAATCATGGTCTTTAAAAGTACTATAATAATATTAATCACTATTTAAGTCCCAAGTTTCCTGTAAACTAAGAATATCACATTTTGATACAAAATCAGACAAATCATATAAATTAAGCTTATTATAAAGTCCTTCAATATTCAAAGTTGCTAATGTCAACAATAATGGGCCTTGGCCGCTATCCTATGGTGGTCCGTGAACTCCATCATCAGAATCGTCAGCCTCCTGTATCGTTTCCATGGGTGTACTTACATCGGTCA